CCCCCCTTCCTTACCTTGCTACCACTATTGGGATGTAGAGTAAAGATGCTGGTATCAGGACTTTGGTTATGTTGGATGAGCAAGGAGGTAAGTTCAGATTGCTTCAGTAAGGAAGTATAACCATTCTCAAAGTACTGTACTAACTCTGTGCAATCCTGAAAATGAGGGCCATGAAACACATGTGTGGTTGTGCATGAGAAGCCAAGAATCTCTTTGCCTTTAGCTTTGTTGTCTGACAAAGGAATGTACAATAACTGCGTAATAGTCTGTACTTCTTTTGATCTGTTTCCCATTAATGTCAAAGAGAGCTGCAGGCTGAACTCATCCAAATCATCTTTTTTTCAGCAAGCTTTGGGTCAAGATCCAGCTACACAATGGGAAGATTTGCCTCCATAAGTGTAAAATTCAACATTATTTATGCAGGTGCTACATAGCTTGTTTTAGCTACAAGTGAAAAGCTTGCATTAAATGCAGCCTAAGAGAAGGTAAAACAGGGTTAGCATGCATAAAATTCATGCAAGTGAATGTGAGTGAAATGACAGTGAGGATAACAGGAATCTAACATTAAAAGCTATGACACGATCAGCTCATTACAATTGACCATATAGGAGATTTCAAGCTTAGACGAGTCCCTGTCTGTGGATGACAGTGACAAAGACAGAGCTAGGTGTATTCAATACATTCCAGAAAACTACATTTTTGCCCTTCATGATATTACAAAGAAGCAGGTAGTTTCCCCGCCCCGCAAACAAAACTAGTAAGTCTTCATTTGCTGCAGACCTACACCACCAGCAAAATGGTGTCTCCAAAGAGAAGTTAAATCAAGAAAATATAAATTTCTGCTACTCTATATCAAACCAGTCCCCAAAAAGCCCTTGTTATTATTTACTATGTGGCATGATACAAAACTGTAGTAGGAAATGTTTTCTACAGAGGTAGTGCTATATTACTCGTCAAGTCCAGAAAACGATTATAGGCAACGGTACGGCATTGTTGGGAAATGGACGGCAGAACCTGACAAACCCTTTTCGTCTGTACTGTCCCTGCCTCTCTGGCACTAAAATGAATGAAAAGTAATAACAGGACCTAAACAGAAAGTATTTTCTTCTATTTGCTTTTATATGTATGTCTCATTGCTTCCCTCCCACCTCCCCCTTTAGGGAAAAGAATTTAACCTAACCAAATTTTGCCACATCAATTTGTCTTGACAAGAAAAAAATTACAGAGAATATTTTGTTGTCTTTGAATTTTTTTTTCTGCTGAATAACAGCAGTAAAAGAACTATCACTGAATACAGAAAACCAGAAATTACTTATGTTGAAACAGATATGGCACCTGTCTAAATAATGTGTTTTGTTTCAGAAGTGAATTATACAGCTAAAATAAATCACAAATATTGTCAGAGAAAGTCTGTAAATAGCCAGGTGTGTCTTGCAATGTAATTCACAGGCAGATCAGCAGAAACTTCAGTGGTTCCTATAACTTCCCTTGTGTTTACTCTTGGGAAAGTATGTTTCTGTTCTGTAACTGTTATTTTCCACAGATTTCTAGAGGGTTTTATTCTGTTTTTAACCCTGAATTTTGGTTTTGACTTTGGAGTTCTACTATTGCTAAACCCCTGTATGTACCAGTTGTCCCACCGACTCTCTAGATGGTCCATGTGAGCCAAGGAGCTGAGACTGGACCCACTGACCTCTTTGGAGTCCAGGGAGCTCAGTATTAAACTCTCATTGACATTAAAACGTGAAATGTATATTGTATGGCCAGGGATGCAGTTAGTCGCTACTTACAGGAAAGAATCAGACAATTTAAAAGCCTCTTTAAATTGGTTATGGTCGTGCCTTAAGTGGTTCAGTAAATTAAGCTGGTGACTATACAGTATGGGTTTCTCAAAGAAAACAGCCCAGCAATGCTACAAACTCTGGGAATATTGTAACCACTGTACTATGTTAAATGTTTCATCAAGTTTTGTCCATTTTAGCCATATGCAGCTGTAATAATTCCTGGTATTTTTTTATTTTAGCGATAAAGGACTTCTTATATTATCAGGCAAAATGCGCTAATGATGACTTTGAACCTTCTGTAATTAGTGCAATGTGTGCAATTTACGTCTCTGCGGATTATCAGATTAAGGAAATACTTTGCTAACACTGCCATGTGATCTCTTTTCAGCTGACTGCACGAGTCACTTAAGATTATTAGGTGTTAAATAGACAAAAAACATGACAGTGATCTTTCCAGTGGGTGGCAAGCAGAATATCAAATCTCTGCAGTTGCTTGAAGCTCTATTTCTAAGTTTCCTTACAAAATTGCTTGCTTTGAAGTTAAACAGACCTTACAAGGAAAACTTCTTTGAGCCGATCTCAATCTAAATAACACAAAGCAGAACTCGTTTTCTGATATCAATAAGCAGAAGTCTTTGGGATCATAAAAGGAAAGAAGTCAACGTAATTTTACAATGCTAGGTATTTATACAATAAAGCCAGTCTGGCTAGCTCCTGTTGCCTAAACGTTTACCGCAGAGTCTGTAATGACCCTACAGAGATGTGGAGCTTCACAAGAGCTTTCATTACTCCTGTTTCACAGAGAATGGGACTGCCATAAAAACTAGAGACCTCCTCCAGTGCCCTTTGAAGTCACTGGGAATCTGAGTTGGCTTTTGCGTTGGTATTGCTCTGCAATACCAAGAGTTACCATTTTTTGAGCCAGGTATTGTCATCCAAACCAGTTCAACACAGTTCTTCCCCTGGGGACCCCACAGGAAGGAGCTAAGAGGTTAGAATCTTCAACATCTCCATGTTGAATATTTTTCCATCAGTGAGAAAGTCTTTCCCAGACCCTATGTGCATCCATAATGCTTACATTTTTTTTAAACCTGGCCTTGAGTCAAGCTCCCTTAATTAATTATTTAAATATAGCTATGTACTTAATGCTTTAAACTAAAATATTTACATTTTGCACTAAAAATTTCATGCTGCAAAGGATTATTGAGCAGTGGCAATTGCTCTGCTTCATTAAATATGTCTTTGAAACATGCTGGATTAGAAAAATGTTAACATTTGGATGCATGCTGGTTAAAAGCAGACCGTAGAAATGAAACTCATAGTAAAAGTAGGGATATGAAGCTAAACCTGAACTGCAGACATAGTAGGGCTCCCAGAGAGGTAGCTCTCTTCCTCCAAAGGAAACTCCCATCACCTGGGAGTATCAGCAGGCAGAGAGATTTGGACCTTCAAAAACCTGGTTTTGGATGATGATGTCCTCATGCAGTTTATTACAAAAGAATTTTGTTCTTGTATTCAAAGCGGAGTCGAGGGGAGAAACTTTTGCAATAACAACAGTAGCAGCACAGCCATTTTTCATCCAAGGCAAGATAGACGAATATCCACAACTTTGATAAGCCACAAAGAAAATGTCAATGTAATTGAAATTTTCTCCCTGCACCATGCCAACAGCAAATGCAGAACCAGCAATGCCAGGGAACGCAGAGAGTAGCCTGATCTACCCAGCAGATCTGTACTCCAAGGTGAAGTATGGAGATAAAACTTTGGAATAACTGGGTGACCCTACAAGCAAAAGGGCAGACACCAAGCGATGGTGCCCATGCTAGCTGACCTCTACAGTTTTTGCATGAGTTGCAAGTTTTACAGTTTTATATAAGTTATGGCTGACCTGCTTCTACGGCACTGGAGAAACAACTGCAGTAAATATGAAGATAATTACCATTCTTTTCCATCAGAGAGCAAAATTATGGCCCCTTGCGCAGGCTTCTTCCCCAGCTTATCTTCCATTCAACAGCTACCAGAAGAAATTGATAGGCAGTGAGATGCCAAATGCGGGGTTGTTAGAGGCGCTCCAACAACACCTACAAGCTGAGCTGATCACAGTCAGAAATGGTTTGCTAATTAGTGAAAAAAAATGGTAACTATCAACCATTCCAGATTCTACAGGGAAAATGGCATTAATTATGTTGAAAGTGTAAAGCAGAACAAAAGAAAAATGAACCCCCCCAAAAGCAGGTTGTGCCTTGTCTACTGTTATTTTTAGCACAGCTACACGTGGGCTCACAAGCGCTCCTTGCCAGCTTTCTTCCATTCGTACCTGTGCTCAGCAATGCCTTTCAGAGCGGAGCTAGGTCAAGACTCGGGATTTCTGAGAAGGCTGTCCTAGAAATGTTCTTCACTCTGATATGGTTCTGCTTTATGGAAAATGGGATCATCAAGTATCATTGGAAATAGTTAATCTGCTGACTCTCTTTCAAATTCAGCCCTCTTGTATGCAATTATGATTACAATGTGTTCTTAGACGTCCTTTTTTCTTTTCTTTTTTTAATTAAAACTGTCCTTGGTGGAAATTACTTCATTGCACAATACTCTAGGCAAAGGAGCAAGTTCCCTTCTCCAAATGCATTTAACTGACATTCAAGCCCAGGACCCAGATCCTGGACACCACTCAAGGAACATTTGTTATAAATTACAGATGGGGACGCAAAGGTGGAGCAACACCACACTTGCCCTGTCCTGGTCCTGCATCCAACGCTGTGTTAAGATGCTTTTGCAGCTGTGTTTGCTCAAGAGACCACAGGAGCAGCTGAGGGATGCCCTTGCTACAGCTTCCCTCTCCCAGCCACTTCCCCAGATCAGTCGCAGAGTGGGGATTTGCCAGACTGTTACAGAAGATCCTGGCAAAGACCCACTGGCAAAAGGGCCACAATGCTACAGTAAAACTAACAGGACTAGCTTATGGTCCCTTATATGGTTGCTTATGGATTTAATACAGAAGTAATTAATAAGTATAACAACACAGATAAAAAGATATCCTTTGTATCCTAAGATATGCCATTAGTTTGCTGTAGGATCTGGAAGGAGATATAATGCCACTTTTGAATCAAAGTGACATTCTCAGTCATAAAAGGGTATCAATATGCAAAAAGGGCTAATAATTAGCAGAGCTTCCTGGAAAAAAAATGAAGGAAATCTCAGTGAAACATACCTCCGATGTGTATTCGGCTTCCGGACAACGCCAATTCTCTTATATATCATATATGACATATAAACATATATATAGATGTAGTATATTCAAAGAATACTGCAACAAACTATCAAAAGATGTTTAAACTCTGACCTTGACGTGCTTCTCGAAATGGGAGATAAAGGGCATGTTCTTTTGTAGGTGTGAATCTGTATAGGTTCATGGCAGCGTATGCCAGCAGACTGTCTTCCCTAAAACCTTTAGTACAATACACAAAGCTGTAATAGGGAAGAGCTATGAAAACATACATTAAATTAACCTTTTGATAGCCATCTGATTTCTTACTGGCAGTGATTCATTCTGGGCTAGATTGTAATATCAGTTATACCAAAACAAATCCGGAGTGACCCCATTAAGTAATTCCTCTATAATACTTATGCCTCAATAATTGTGGTTAGACACATGAATCTATTTCCTTGCCTGTGGGACCAGATCTTTGACAGGTATAAATTGGTGTTGCTCCATGAAGCCACCATAACTATGCTGATTTAAACCAGTTAACAGTCCAGCCCATGACATTAACAACTTGCAAATGGGTTTAGAACCAGCAGCCAGCTGTCTAGACTTCTGGGCTACAAATATGACATGGGCTTTTTACACTGATGAGGTTTCCTTTTAATGGAAGATAAATTAGTTGTGGGTCCCTTTTCTATTCAGAAATAGCATAGGCATCACACACAAATCCTGAAGCAGGATAAATTAAGTCAGGTTCCTGGAGAGAGCTATAATTTAAATGAAAGTCGTTGAGTCATGTCAAATATACTCTTCAATTAGCACTTATCTATTCAGGCAGAGTACGAAACAGGAAAAGAAAGTTCCAAAGGCCCTACTACATACCTGGCTTCAAAGAATGTGCATCTGAGCAAGGAAACATGCTTAGACTGAAAGCCACCAGTGGTACCAGAACTAGGACTGATCCCTGCAGTCTTACGTGGCGTTTTCTACTGGCCAGCCAAGGTTAGAGAAATACTAGCAGCAGAATCAGTGGAAGAAATGTCAGTACCTCTTGTCCCTCCCAGTGTCAAAATATACATGTGGAAATAGCCTCCTTTGAACCGAGAGCCCCAAAAACCAGCCGGGCTCTGCAAACACTGCCCTCACAAGCAGGAGGTGGGAATCTGCGACAGAAATTTAGCAATTCCCATCACGCTGCATGAACCAGCCTAAAAGCCAGCTCATGCTCCCACAGCTGCTTCCCAAGAGCCAGTGTTGCCCAGCTATGCAGGAGCGGGCAGGACTCTGAGTTAGTGAGGAGCAGGAGCACTTCGAGGAGTACCACCTTCTACCACATACTTGCATTTCTGATGAGATTGACAATCTATGGCTACAAACATGAACCAAAGCTTCTGCTAAAGCCTCCCAACCAAAATGTAAAATTACAATGTGCATTAAAGCAATCCAACCTTGTATTTCTGGTTCTTGGCTCAGCAGTTTATCTGGCAGAACCTGTGCAGTGTATCTCTCGGGTTACTTTATTAGTTTCCCAATCCTTTGCTCACATTATATGTGCCCCTTTTAGAAGATGCTGCCAGGTAACTCTGATCCTCTAAATGTACGCTTGGATTTGGGATCAATAACTTCTGTGGTATCAGGAGACAGGTACATCCAGCTGAGGAGAATGAGAACTGACAGCTGAAAAGCAGATGCAGCTCGCAATACTGACATGGCACCTCTCCTTCTCAAAGCCCAGCCTCATGCAAGAATTAAACAAAGAGCACAAGTTCAATATTTGAATTATTTCAGCTTCAATAATTTAGGCCAGGATTTTCAAGGCCCTCTAGGGGTGAGATGCCAGATTCACATTAAAATTAATTTTATTTAATTAATTGGTATCCAAATCCCCCAGAAAGCTTTGAAAATCTAAACCTCAATTATTAGAAACCCAAGTAAGAAATTAGGCCTATTCATGTTCCCAAAGAAGTCAAGAGGAGTTTTGTACTGATGTCAATATGCACACAATTTTTTTTTTCCTAAAATGCCTTCTTTTTTTTTTTCTTCTGGACAGGACTCACTTAACACCAGGGATGACATTAAATTCCTCCTATAACCAATGGTCTCTTAGTTCCTTTCCTCTCAGGTCTAGTTCTGTGTTTATATTTTTTTCTACTCAACACGGGGAATAGGGATGTATTTGTGTTTTACTGGGGTTGCTTCACTTTGTCTCTTCAGGTACAGTTACAGTTTTTAATGGATTGAAATGCCACTCCAAGTAACTTTCTCATCCCGTGTAATACTTACTTGGGTTTATCTTCATGAAACAAATGGTGAGGCTTTCCACCCATGTAAAATGCTGTCGCTACCGCAGACTGCACATAAGACCCCTGATCCCACTGGGTCCTTATTTCTTTACATCAGCAGATGATCCGTTCCTACAATTTTACATTGTGGCATTCTGTTCCTCTAGGCCATTTTCCCCAGCTTTAATAGTGAAGAAATTAACACATGAAATTATTCTGAGCTACCAAGTCACTAAGAAAACCCTACATCATCATCAGCCTTGGGTGGAAATAAGCCAAATTCTGTTTGATGCCAGTGGAGAGACAGCGTCTATATATGGCTGGTTACTGGGCTTGGTGCTTCGTAACTTGCCCTGGAGCAAAGCAGAAGTGACCCCACTGAAAACATGAGACTTCACCCAATGCTTGTTTTCATAAGATGCCTTGGGGACAGAGACAACAAACGTCCCAGCCAGTGGTCCTCTTTCAGTGAGCATCAGGCTCCTGGAGTGGTTGCAATTGCTGCGTGTTCACTGGGGTTGCTCCCGATTTGCAGCATCTGTAGCAGAAAGAAAACCAGCCCTGAGGCCATACTCAGATTAGAGATTAATATCCAATGCCAATCAAAGTGGCAGGTCTCAGTTTCCTCAGACTCTGGAAAAAGGAGTACTTGGACACAACTCTTAACAGCTCGCTCCATCTCTGGTACTGTTAACTACCAGCTCGCTCACTCACTAATCAAAGCAATTACGCTGCCCAAAATCGCCTAATTCCAAGGCATTTGTAAGTGTAAGTAACGGAAGTATTTTCCATGGAAGGACACCTTTTCTCTTGTATTAACATACATAAATGCAAAATAATAACACTATCTTTCTTTCTCTTGGATGTCATTGGTGTCTTAGTAAGTGAATGTATTGTATTATGTTTCTGGACCTTAAACTTTATATCCCTTCCTTTCTACATCATTACATCTTGTTTAAATTGATATATTTCAAACACCTTCCTCCTTTGTTTTACTCTTACCATATTAGTAAAAAACATCTTTGGCGTCCAGTGCAGCATACATCCTTTCAACAATGCATCAGCTCAGATTAATGCATTGTAATGGCATTATTAATTCAGTTCTACATGGTCATTTTTCATATTCTGTTGAAGACAAAAGCAAACAAACAAAAATACAATTCATTCCACACTGTCATCCCTTTGTCCTGACCAGAACAACTCGATCGTGTTGAAGAAGGCATGAACCATATCAACCAAGACATGAAGGAGGCCGAGAAAAATTTAAAAGATTTAGGGAAATGCTGTGGCCTTTTCATATGTCCTTGTAACAAGTAGGTACTGGGTACCGGCTCTGCTATGTGGTGTCCAGTTTTTTGTCACAGTGAATGTCTGAAGTTTTTGTCTTTTTTTTCTTTGTCCTTTTCCATCTGCTTCATTCTGTGGGGATAAAATACTTGTGTTTAATCAGAACAACTGGAACGCATCGAAGAGGGAATGGACCAAATCAATAAGGACATGAAAGAAGCAGAAAAGAATTTGACGGACCTAGGAAAATTCTGTGGTCTTTGTGTCTGTCCATGTAACAAGTAGGTGCTGCCTGCCTCATCTCTTTGAGCACTTAAGGCTGATCCCAAAGGCCTTGTGAAGCTCATCCTTGCTAGGCACATGGACAGGATGAGCATGTGGCATGCAGAAAGAACGATTCTGGTTCAAATGCATTCATCTCATAGCATAGACAACTGACTGGGAATTACTGTAGATGCATTAAAATCAGGCATACTGCAGTGAAAGCTTCACTGTCGACACCTTTTAATGGTAAAAGTTTCAACATTTTACACAAAGTGTACTGAGTGGTTCCATTTTCCAGCGAACAAAAACACTGGGGCTACCTTATTCCTGGAGACCCTAAATTTTGAAACATATTTTCACAAACAAGTTTCATAAACAAAACAAAAAATCTAAAAAAAAAAAAAAAAGCAGAAGAGTTCATAATAAACATTACTCAAAATTATGGATTAAAATCACACAACATTGTTCAACAGAAATAGTCCTTGATGAGATCTTGAAAGAGAAGTGATGTTTCACAATTGGAACCCAACTTGAAATGGTTTTCATCCTGCCATAGGCAACAAATTTGAGAAAACCTGAACATGTCATGCCAAATTTCTCTTGCCTGGGTAGCATGTACACTAAGCAGAAATGTTGAAATGCATCGAATTTGCTTGCATGCCATCACACTTGAACGAAACCGTCCTCCAAGTAACGCAAAGCTTGTTTTAAATGCCAAATGAAAATGTGATGTGCGGTTATGCGCGTGTACGAAACAGTGGACAAAGTGGACTGAGCAGAAGTCCTTGAGGAATGGCAAATCCAGCATGCAGTGAGTAGGCATGCAACCAGGTTACAGTGAAAACATTCATAACTGGTTGGCCAGAGATTGTACAGGAACCAGAGCAGAGTGCAGTGGTTGTGTTGTATTATACTCCCTTTCTGCGTGGCACAGATATTTTGTTCACAGCCAAGGCCTGATCCTACCATGATTATCAAGACCAAAGGAAAGAGAGCTGTCACGGAGTTCAGCCATGGGTATTTTGCCAGAAATCCGAATGGTAGGACTGGGTTTCTGCCTTATCAGTCACCATTTATTTTGAAGTTAATTCCCTTGGGACGCAATGCAGATACTGCCTCAGCTTTAAAAAAAATCAGTTTTGCTCCTGTGGCTTTGTGGCTCCAAGCCACAAATACTTTGCTGGGGTAAACATTTTGCTCAAAATATGTGTACTGTTGCCTTGGTGTGCAGAATGGGAGAGAGGCAAGGAGGAATGGAAAGAGCTACACGCACACACAGCCTTTTTCAATGGGACTGCCTGCAATTGGTATCAGCTCTGTTACAGGCTTTGGCCTGCTGTCCTGCATCAGAGGACCCAGTGCAGAAGAGCTGCAGGTGCAGGAGTATGCAGCAGAAACTTTACATCTCCCACACTCTAAAACCTGTTGCAACTTAAAGAGGAACGCTGTCCTGGCTTGCTCCTCCTGGAGAAACCCAGCATAACGCCTACATCAAAAGTTTGCCCTTGAAGTACAAAAAATTCCGATGTATTTTGCAGGAATCATAATTTTTCAGAGCAGCTTTAATATTCTGTACTGTAGGAGAGGCTGCTCAGAACTGAGAGCCAGACCTGTGGCATGGATGGGGTTAGCACCTGACACGTGGCCTTAGAACATTTACCACTTCATTATGATTGCAGTATCATGAAATCAACAGGTGCAAGAACAGAAGTATACTGCATGCATTCGATGTGGGGGATGTTCATTTTTAAAGGTCTCTCTTCCCTGCTTTAAGGCAGTATTCTGACCTTTGCAGTCTGCAGCCAGATTTCATAAACCAGCATTGCTAATCAGTCATTGTGTTCAGAAACAGAGTATGGATGAACAATGCTTTTAGAGGCTGTTCCTTGAATCACTATGCCAGGACTCAACTGGTACAAATAAGATATTCTGAGAAGTGGAGTGTAGGAGGGAGAGAAATCCATGCAGTTCTGGGCATCAGTATCACCATGATCCCCTAACGCTCTTCTGGCTGGTGGTAGATTAATGGCATATATTTAAAAAAGATTAACCATTTCACACATAACTATACTCTGATATACAGAGTAAATACAACTCCGTGAGCCTTACCAAAATGTAAGGCTTGATCCTACATTCTTAGGAGACCCAAAATGCCCATGGCATGAAACTTTGACCAGACTGCATTCAAAAGGACAAGTACTATTGACCATGAGCAGACCCAGATTCCACCTGTTGACTTCAGTGGGAAGTCCACAAGAAAACAGAGATCAAGTTCTGGGTGTATAAAATCATTCACCTCAAACACAGAGACTGTCTCACTCTCAAAGTTGCACAGGTCTAAAGAACAGGCAAAAACCTGTAAACGTATGTGCAGCAAGAGATCTACTTTCACTAATTTCTAGAAATGCCAAAGCTGATGTATAGTTTCAGAGAACTAAGAACAAACAAGCTAACCATCACCTTTCTGAGTCTTCACAAACTTTAATAGGAACTAAGCTACAAAACAGATAAGTAGGAACGATCCTCTTTTCATCTACATTTTAATTCTATATCGGAGCACGCAACACATCTTCAGGCTCAGTAGAAGCTGAGCTGCTTCAGGGCGCATGGAGAGAACATAACACCAGAGATGGGTTTGTTGTGTCCTTTCCCAAATCCCCCAGAAGCACATTCAGTTTCTCCTCAAAATCCAAGCCACAGAGCTGTTTATATGACTGACTGGAGCTGACCGAAGAACAGGGAAACCACAGAGATTTGTAGTTCCCAATGGCTTTGTTGGAAGCTGCTCCATTTCCAGAATGAAATCAAGAACTTATACCTACAGACCCCAAATACTCACACTCTTCCTGTTAAAGTGTCCAATCTCATCTGACGAGCACAATGACAGCAACCCTAAATATGCTGCACATGCTAATCTGCCACTGAAGGTATGCCTGGATTTTAATTTTCTATCCACGGCAGCTCAGTCAAAAATGGCTCTCTGAAAACTAGTGTAACTGTCATAAACAGATATAAGAAGTTGCTAGGCTATTTTAAAGTCCTGTGGTTTAAAGCTCCTGAAGGAAGTGATGATCCATTTTTGCCTGTGTCTTGCTTATTGTGAAGGCTGTTACCGCTGATGCATTAAGAGTATGATGAACTATTGGGGCAACTGTGCTTAGTGAGAATGCTTTACTTCTTATTCATGCCTGTAGCTGGTGCATGAAGAAAAATGTAGAAAAATTTCCCTTTCTGATGCTAGATTGCTCGTATCTTTTCTTTTCTCCTGCACTCATTTCACTTCTGCCTATTTTACTTTTTGTCTCTGTGGACAAAGGTTTGTACATCAACTGTCGATGTATGATTACTATTTTCAAGTACCGATATATTATTTGAAAAATCTAATGAACCCTATGAATTTTATGATAAAATCATCCCCAGATCACCTTGGGAAAGGTTGGTGGCTTTAAATGCCTATTATGCCACATACATGTTAAAAAAATATCAACAAAAGCCCAATCTTCTGCATGGTAAAATGTTAAAATCTAGCCAAATCCATTTTTCTCTAAGAGGGTGTGTTGCTGTGATGTGATGTACACACTATACTTGGCAGTTCTGTTTTTATGTCTGTCTGCCAGTACGTTCTCTGTGTTTGATGTCAAAACGTATGTGTCACTGAAATGAAACAATGTTTTCTACTTATCTGTATTTCTTCTCTTCTTCTTTTTTCTTTTTCCTTTTTTTTTTTTTTTTTTTCTTTCTGGAAACTAAGTCAACATCCAAAAACCTGTGTGCAGTGTTGTGGACTTGACAATTGCAATTCACCCTATTGGAAACAAAACCTCCGACCATCACAGTTGTTGTGGCAGTAAAGTAAAAAAAACAAAAACCAAATCCCTCCTTTTATTCAGGGTTATGATATATCGGTATACAATCAGTGACCCTCTATCTGAAAACTCATTTGCTTGATTCAGCTTTTAGCTTGGAGAAATAAAGAGTTTTGCGTTTGTCCTTGTCCACTTGATGCTTTGTTACTCATCATCTTTTTTGCATAGGCTTAAATCAAGCGATGCTTACAAAAAAGCCTGGGGCAATAATCAGGATGGTGTTGTAGCCAGCCAGCCTGCACGTGTCGTAGATGAACGGGAGCAGATGGCCATCAGTGGTGGCTTTATCCGCAGGTGAGCCTTTTTATCCACTGTTTTCTCTCTATTCTCCTCGTCACGGATATATTTAGATTTCTTCCATATGGTCATGAGCTCTGTGATGCTCATTAACTCCTTCAGTGGTGCCGGGTAATGTGATGGAGCCAGTGTTTTCCACCGAGTGGTGGGTGCTCAGATTTAGGTTGTCGGCGATTAAGACAGGTACTAAAGGCTTACTGCGTCCACTGACTTCCCCTGGCCCTGTGGGTGCTTGCCTGAGCTACTGCAAAGGATGGTTACGTTGCCAGAAATGCTGGAAGTAAGGGTCTTAGCCCTGAGAACCAGAAGATGCTTGAAAACATGGCCCTAAACCTTCCTCCTTGAGACTGCTTAGATCTGGGCAATAATAAAATAGAAATAATATCTGTGTATTTACTTCACAGCAGCAGAGTTTGCAGACCGTCATGGCCAGTCAGCACTGTCCTCTGCGCTCCAGCTCCCTGATGGGAACAATGCGCTTTTCCTGGGGGCCTGATTATGGGCCTCATTAATGACAGTCATCAAATGCCTCAGAAATGAAGTGTCAGATAAACTAGTTTATTATTGTTATGTCTCAAGATACATAGTGCTCGTTATCCATCCTTGCCACAAGATGTACCAAAGCATCCAGCACCCCTTCCTTTCTTTTCAAAAAGAAAAAAGCCTCAGGCTCCCTGCCAAAGCACGGAGCCAAGTGCAGCACTTGAAGCACACTTTTAAGTAGAGGTACACCACTTCCCTGCCCGTGACTATCCAGAACGCCTCCCAGAACGGGGAATGATGCCCCATTCCTCAGCTGCTGTAAAGCCACAACTATGGAGAAACACTGATGCTTTAGTGGCAACCCCTGTGCGCTCAAATGAAAGCCAGTTTGAAACACACAGCTATACTAATGGCAACCAAACCGCAAACTTTCAGCAATACGTAGGGATCCAGCAATAAGTACATGCTGATTACAGTGCTTATAGAGCATGTATTTAGATGACAATGCTATCAGCTGAATGGATAAAGGCATACCAGTAGGCAAAGCTTTGATCTCTGAAGATTAAGGACACTGGATTAATAAGTAATTATCTTTCCAAAAACTATTATCCACTTATTTTTTTGGCTGCTGTGATAAAGGGAAATCAGTGTGATAGAAACAATGCTGTCATGCAATCTGGAGCGTGGGATGGAGTTGCCATTTAAGTTTGCTGGGTCTGCCGTTCACTTTTTTTTTAATTTCTGGATGGCAGCCCCACCAAAATGAAGGCTGGGGCATGATGACAGGATAGCAGTGAAGGCAGTTACGCTACAAGGTAATCGTTCTGCGAATAGCCTGTAGTGCCCTTTTAGGAACCTACATGAACACAAATTGCACGAGAGGCTCAAAGTAGTGATTTTCGCAGTGGGACCCATGGACCTTGCTTTTCCCAGTGTCAGTCACCACATGCCTCTTCAGTCACTGGAGACTTGAACTGGGCCTTGGCTCAAGCACAAGCTTTTCCTTCTAAAAACCAAGCAACTGAAAAAGACGGTGCTAAGAATGAGAGACAAAGGATCTTTCCTAAAGCCAGTACCATCTGAGAGAAACTACTTCTGTCATTTACCAGAAATATGTTTAATTAAATAGGATGTTAGGTCAGGACTTCCACAGCTGAAGCAGCTCTTCCCCAATATTTCAGTGAGCCCCAAGTGTATGAGGACTGGACAGTACCCATTAGCTATGCGCAGTTCAAGGAGGGGAACTGGTATAGCTTCAATTCCACCACCCTCCAGCATTTCCCGCGTACTCTAACCACACACAGGTCCAAACGGAGCACCCTTTCATTCTTTGTTTGAGAAGGACCGTCGCTAGCAGAGAGGTACGTCTGTGGTACAGACAAGCTCGGACAGCAACGCTTCTAGGAGCAGCAGACACGAGCTGTATAAATGGAGCAGTGAGGAACCCAGACAATTAAGCCTAACATCCGAAAAATAAGCATGTAATGTTTTTTAGGCTAGCTACTTATTAATCCCTTTTCTTCAAAGCTGAGCACAGCAGCGTGCTCCTCAGGTGACAAGCGAAGGAGAAGGCAAGGGGAGGTTTCGGGTGAATCAGAGTTTCAGGGGGAACCTCCTCTGTCTCTGCTTCAGAGAACTGTTTTTTTGCTCCCAGGGTAACAAACGATGCCCGGGAAAATGAAATGGATGAGAACCTCGAGCAGGTCAGCGGCATCATTGGCAACTTACGTCACATGGCCCTGGACATGGGCAACGAGATCGACACACAGAATCGCCAGATTGACAGGATCATGGAGAAGGTAAGAGCTGACATTTCTAAGAGGACCCCAAAAGGGGCTGTGTTTTCCCTTCTGAAAGCACAGGCTGTGTGTGCTGCAGTTTCTCTTCAGCTTGGAGAAGGACAAGGGACAGAAATAGCTGCTAGAGCTCTTCTCTTTTCTCCCTCCAAATCCTTGGGCCAAAGCAGAGCTGGCTGCTTGTAGATCTTCCGTAACCTCCAGTGCAGGTGGGGTTGAACCCGCGCTGCTGGGTTTGCCACACAACAGCTGGCAAGGGGACCCCTTAGCACAAATCAAGGCTCCTTCTGGAACAGCTTTGGGAAAGGAGAAGTGCCCTGAGCTATGCAGAACTGTGGGGCTTGGGTCTGAATGCCCTGGCACTTCCTGGCAAGTTTTAAACCTTCCTGTGGAAACTCCATGAGCAATTCAGAATTCATCACCTGTTTGGAGGACCAGTCCCAAAAAGAGGATGGGGATTTATTAAGCAAGGCTTTGCCATGTGGTGACAGTGTAGCCAGTCTTGTCGTGCTGCCTACTTATAACTACATTAGGACAGAGATCTACCAGCTCTCTTGATGTGTGTATATATATACGTATACATATATATAACTGGACCCCACACGGACCCAGTGAAATACAAAAGCTCGGCATTACTATTGCAAAATCACCATCTGAAAAGGCAGGGAGCACCGTTCCAGTGCCAGACCTGCATTGCAGATTTCTGAAGCAGATAGCAGCACCCTCCAAACCCGGCTGGGAGCTCACTGCCATCCTCAGAGCCCAAGATCTGCAAGCCATCTGCATTCGTACTGGCAGAGCTCCAGGTGCAGGCACAGCCAGGCTGAAGTGACATAAGAGGCTAGATCTTCATCTGGTGTAAACTCAATACAACACTCAACTTCCGCTGAGATTTACACAACCTGAGGATCTCACCCAAGGACTTATGTGTGCTGCTTAGAGTTAATTCTGACCTTAAGTGGTAGAGCTTGTACTCTTGAGCCTTCTTACACGTGCAGACCTTCTCACACGAGCAGGATGTCCATGCCCATTTTTCATGTCGATGAAGTACATCAGAGCCTAGTGAAAAAATTAAAGAAAATACCAAACTGAAAAATTCACTCAGATAGCTTTCCTTATCGGAGTTTGATTCCAGAGAGAACTGGGTGAAGTATACGTTGTCTTAAAGGTGGGAAGTTCGTCTCTGACAGGGAGACAGTCACATAACACAGCAGAGCACATGGGTTTGCATCGGTCAAAGTTTTGTTTTATAAAGCTGCATCTGTTAGTTTGACTGTGTGGTGGGTTGGCCCTGACTGGACGCCAGGCACCCACCAAAGCCACTCTATCGCTCCCCTCCTCAGCTGGACAGGGGAGA